TCCTCTATTGTAACTCCTTCTCTGTCAGCCTCTTGAAATTTTCCCCACTCCCTCCTCCTACTGGTTTCTCTCTGGTGGTCTCATTAATGTTGTCTGATGCAGGCCCCTTGGATGCTAGAAGAGTAATCGTCGTCCTGTAAGAGCCTCCTGAGTTATTACTCCTACCTCCCCTCTCTAGATTCTTCTGATTTTCCACCAGCTGGGCCAACTTCATGGCCTCCCCTAAGGGTGGGTTTGGGACGGCGTCACAGCTGTTTTTCTTTATAAAAAGTTATTAAAATTTTGTTTGAGGATTGCGGCAGAACAGCGTCATAAAAAATTCGCGGCATAGAGTTGCTTCCTGCGACCTTTCCCCTTCTCCCACGGTCCGCTGTGGTCGGCTGCTTTCCAAGGAAAAATGACATAAATCCCCCCGCTTGCAAGTATTTGCGACCTTTGCGTCGCACCGCTTCCAACATCAACAAGATACCCTTTCGCTATTAGAAGCGCAGATCTCCTCCAACTCGTTCACCTCGCTCACCATCGCCGCCGCCACCTCGGCGTCGAACTCCTCCCCTCCGGTCTCTCCTGTAATCAGCGAACTCCTTTGTCACATACCTGGTGAGCAGAGCAATGGGGGTCAGTTTTCTCGCCGAGTGGCGGAGGTTGGCCAAGGAACGGGCAGAGAAGAGGGTTACATTCTTGCTGCTGGAGAGAGAACTTGTCTTTTATACAATGCATGGGAACTAACAAAGAACCAAGCACCGCTCCATGAGCCATTCTAAAGTATGGTTGCTGGGGCTTCCTCCTAAGTTGAGAGATAGGAAGCCAGCTCCAGGGGAGAGCTTAGAGATCGGATGCCATAAAGATAAGGCGCTCTCAAGTATAAAAATAACGAATGGAAAAATTATAAAAATATATTTAATTAAAAATTAATGAATTAAAAATAAATTTAATCAATCAACACTTTTAAATTTTATTTAAAATAAATTTATTATGTATTAATTTTTAGTTTAATTTTATTTAAAATAAAAATTATGAGTTCTTTGATATGTAAAAGTCATAAAATATTTTGTAAAAATGTATAAAAAATTTAATTTAAAATTGTTAGTTGGTTATCGTATATATTTTAAAAAAATATATATATCTTTTAAACAAATTTCTTTCATTTTAATATATATAAGGGTATCTAGGTAATTTGTTTCCACACAGCTGCAGCGCAGCAGCTCTACAGTTATATCATCCAAACAAAATATACTATTTTCTGTACAACAAGTTCAAAAAGTAACTTTCTGTACCATAACTTTACAACCTACTTTATTGACAGCTGCAGCCGTCCCAAACGCATCCTAAGTCATGAGGCATCAGAACCTTCACTGCTGCTCGGATCCTTCAACCCCTTCATGAAGTTTCCCTCTAATACCGTATCTGATAATCACTCCATCCTACTGGCTAGCTGCTCAAACTGCTCCACGTAGTCTGCTATTGATCCCTCCGGTGTCAGAGCAAAAAACTACTCATAGAAATTTCCTCCCTGGTCAATTTGGAAACATTCTATTATGCAGTCCTTGAATTCCCTCCAGTTCCTGATAGGTCTCATCTGGTCTCTCCATTGGTACCATGATAATGCCTTCCCCTCCAAGCATAGGCCTGCTGCTGTTAGTTTCTCCTCCTCTGTTAGCCCATTAACGGCAAAGTACCTCTCCATCTTATAGAACCACCTATACGGATCCTCCCCCTCAAAGATAGGCATCTTCAACTTCCTCACCTTCCGATCTCCACCATTCCCCCTTATTCCTCCATAGCTTCCCCTCTCCCAAGTGCTCAGCCCACCCCACATCTCCTGGACTTCCCTTCACTACCATAGCCCAAACACCCTTCGAATTTCCCTCTTCTTCCTTCAAAATAAGCACCCCGATGATAGTAAAACCCCTCATGGCATTCCCAACCAGCCCCTCTTTGCTCTGCTCCCCCATAGCCATACCTTTCCCCATGTCGATCTCCTCTTTCCTCCCTATGGAAAGGCTCCACATAGGGTCTTCTTATTCCCCCTTCCACGGTTTCCACCTCTTCTTCCTCCTTACGGATTTCAGAATTGGTGTTCTTCGCTTCGAATGTCGCCGTCTGTATTCGAAGCTCCAGCATTCTTTTCATCATATCCCTGAGATCGGCCACATGCCCCTCTGATGTAAGCACACTAGTTAAAAAAGCCAAAAACAAGAGAACAATGGACAGAATTTAATCAGACTTGATTTAAATAGTAGCAATCATCTATAACATCCAAAATCAGACGAAGAAAACTAGAAGAGATTTCAAAGAAATAAAGAAAATAAAAACAACGCTATCCTAAGACAACCGTCAAAGCGGGTTCCTCACATGCATCGAAATGTAGGTTAAATAAAATAAGTGCTTAGGGCTAGCAGACCAATGATCCACCATGGGCTAGCAAACCAATGGTCCACCACTGCACGATCGATCCAAACTCTTCCAACAAATGCTCCCAAATCAACCAACAAACATCACCAAAGCTCAAGAAGAAGGATACAGATGGAGTGGAACTTGCGGAGAGACGAAGAGGTTAGAAGCCAAGACGAAGGGTGGAAAGAACTCGCAAGATTTTCAAGAGGAGAAAGAAGGTGGAACAAGCTCGCAAGCTTTTCCAAGGAGAACCCGCAGGTTATAGCAAAAATGCTCTCAATATTCCACTTCCCTCCTTCACAAAACATCTCATATTTATAGGTAAGAAAGGGGAATGCAAATAGCCACTTCAATAAATTTCCACAAGGACCCAAGCATCATAAGTCACGGAATTCCCCCACCTTTTCATTGAAAAACAGCCCAGCCAAGGAACCGAAGAAGAAGCCACGGGAATCAAAGAGACCCGCACAGAACCGAGGTGCCAAAAGACACGGATTGCCACCCAGCTCGGAAAACCATCAGCCAGTCGGAAAACCAAGGGGATATGGCACGGAAATCATCCAGCACAGAAGCCCAAAAAACAGCCACGGAATCCAATTGGTCAAGGGAATATTTTAAAGAAGAAAAGGGAAGGAGAAGGGACAAGACCACTCCAATAATGAATCCAACTTATGAGCTTACCTTTAGAATATTAATGAGCTACTAAATTTCAGCTCATCATTAATGAGCTAGCAACTAAGAAAATGAGCTCAACTCCAACCTTCTCCACATATCACCATAGGCCCCAAAACCGTGGACCATAAGCCAACTCGTGAACTAGCAGCAGACAAGGACCAATCGAGCCAGCAAACCAAAGGTCTACCAAGCCCCAAGCACAACCTACCATGTTCATTGGATGCTTTCCCATCATTGGATAGCTTAAAAAAGAAAATAACATAAAAACATACTAATGTTCAATATAAAATAAAAATACAAAATATTTGATAGCATCACCCTCCATGGAAGAAATTTTTTCCTCCACGGTTTCTTTGATGTGATTCATCTCTTCTTCGAGTCTCTCCTCCAAAGCATCAACTTTCTTGGCCGCCATTACAATCCGGAGTTTGTAGATTCACAAAATTTGAATTTTGGAGTCAAAAAACAGCAACTTCCTCCTTTTCCGGGCAAAAAACTGCTGCTGGAATTTGCCAAAAACAGCCCTCCACCGGTCCCAAGACTTGCTTTGATACCAATTTGATAGAAAACACTTGTAAATCTTGTAGATCTCAAGTATTTCCTATCAATCATCGGAAAACAGCAAGAATCCTTCACAAAAGTCCGCACAAAATCACAAAAACAGTAGATAATTTGTATTATTTGATGAAAGGAAAACGGAAAATAGCATGATACAATTGATCCTTTATTCGAGAGGATTGATCTCTCCCAAATGTCTAGATGCCGCTATAGCACAAAGAAAACCTAGATCTAAGAGATCTCAAATTTCAGCCAAATTCAAGATACCCTAACCCTAGCAAAACCAAAAATTTAATCCATACAAATCAAAAGGAAATCCCTAAACAGTCCCTACATTCAAATTTCTCTCTCAAAACCCTCAAAAAAGCTTCCTAAAAAGCTCCACTTGGGCAGTCGGGGCGCTTGATCTCCGCAGGAGGCGGAAATCCCGCCTGTTTGCGAAATGCCGGTCTCGTGCGGACCGGCTGGACCGGTCCAGTGGACCGGTCTAACAAAGTGTGTACATTGGGATATCTCACAGCTAGAGCTCTCATCAATACATCTAGTAAAAGAAGTTCTCAAATATTGGATGTTGTAATATAAGGGGATCATCGTCGAAGGTGATAATGTTAATGTTATTCAGTATCTTCGACAAATATTCAGAATGGGAGGTAAAGTGATGGTTTGCTTTTCTAAAAGAATTTGATAATGTTATTTTCAATTGTGTTAATATGAATATCAATAAGTTAGCGGATCTTTGTGCTAACTATGCTATCATTAGTGATTTCATTTGGGAAGACATTAGCTCTAATAAGGTTCCTCCTTTTTTTAATTTGTTAAAAGTGGAACTAGTTGGATGTAATCCCTAGGTTGTATTTGTGTTTCCTTTTTTAGTTATTGCAATAAAATTTTTTATTGCTCTTCAAAAAAAAGAAGACTAGTTTGAGTCGAATCTTATGGTAGTCATAGGACCATTTGAAACTACCATCATAATGCCTAGTAGAAATGAGCTAAATATGTGCATGAAATTACTACCCTCTCAAAGCTTCTAGTGATCATAGGGATCATTTTCTAAAGTATGCAACATGTAAACATTAACAAAATTCAAAATATGGAAAATTTTAGAAATCTAACATTTATAGTTGTTGCACAAGAAAAATTCAACAAAATATCAAATGAGAGAAACTGCTGCCACACTAATGCTTCTAGCATCCCACGAATAGAATGATAATAAGAGCACAGGTCTAGGGAAAATTGCCTTTAACTCTGAACAAATCAGCACAAATAGATAAAGTCAACAGACTTAAAGTCTTATAAACAATATGATATAAAATTTTGTTTTGTTGTTGCATTAAAGAGAGAGAACACATATCTATTGACAGCAATATAACCTTTATCATCAGGTCTCCTCCTCTCTCGAGGTACAAAAGTGCCATCAGCTTTCGCTATAATATCTGATTTTGTTTTAGCATATTGAATTCTCTGCAATTTCAAATTCAATGAATAATATCACAGATGCGCAATTCACTCTAAACTGCCAAATAATGCTGTAACCAAAAATAATAATAGAATCGCAAGCCATCTAAATTACAAAGAAAATGGAAATTATTGCTTTAAAGCATCAGTGGAAGTAACATTTGCCAGTTTATGGAAACTGCTAGATTTGGCACCATGAAGCTATTTTCAGTCATCCATTCAAGTAAATGACTGTCAGGATGAGCAGTAAGCAATCCTTTAAATCAAATAAAAAATCAGACCTTCTACATGTCCCTTGTCACTTGACAATTATTACATACCCTCATGATTGGTGATTCATCAGCTATGTATATATTCTTTTAAAGCAAGGTAAATTAGATTATATTAGAGCAAAAGAGTACAATGAGCATTGAGAATAGTTGCAGGTATAAGCATTTGACATGAACAAAAACCAAAAGATATATCAAAATAAAATTATACTGGAATTTAGATTTATGAGATAGCACGTTAACATAATGAAGCTGAGGTTTGGGGTTGGCACTGAATATCCCTAATCAATTACCCACACTCAATGTCTCATTGCTCGAACATACCATTTTCATTTCTATCAAGCAAATCATAGGTAGGGTTTCACAACATCAAGACGCCATCATAACATCAATACTTCAAAATCATCAAAAAATCAAAGTTTGATGGTAGCAATTTCTGCCACCACAATCATGCCCCGTGTCGTCTCGACATCTTATCTTTGACCAAGATCACCTTAACATAGATGAGCGATGATGCCTTGACATTGACTCTCGATACCGACTCTTCACAGTATTGTCCTCTCCCCTCTCAATGCTTGAAAAACAATATCTACCCAAACTCTCGACATATTAATTAATAATTTTAAAAGCACAGATCCTACATAAATGATTTATTATTTCTCAAACTATTCTTGATATTCTTCTTACTCAATTTCTATAGAATATTTTGAAAATATAAATATTATAATACCGTATCAAACCCATGTTTGTTTTCTATATATATATATATATATATATATATATATATATATATATATATAGGGTATTGTTATACATGAACTTTTTATAAGCCTTTAGCCCTTAAATTACTATTCATTAAACATTGAATAATTTTATCCTATTAGTATATGTATTATTTTTAACAAAATAATTTCCAAGATTCTTGCCTCTATGCTTGGTACGTTAATTCATATGCTCATTTTAAAGAACCAATATACATTTCTGAACAGTCATCTTTTTTTTCTTATAATATTGGCTCAATAGTTGATTTATGATCTTCATCTTAAAACTCACGCACATAATACAATTTTAAAATTGGACATTTTAAAGGCATATGATTGCTAAGATAGATATTCTTGTATAATGGCTCATATGATTTTGGTTTTAAAGCTTCCTTAATTAGTTTTATTAAAAATTAAATAGAGAATATAAGTTTTCCATTTTAATTAAAGATTATATTCATACATTTTAAAATCATCAAGGGGTATTTGGAAAGGTGATTCTCTATCTCCTAATCCTTTTAGGATAGTTGTTGAAGAAGCCTTATCATTATTTTTAAATAACATCCTCTATGGAATTAAGTCTTACAGACTTCCTATCTCTCATTTAGGACTTGCAAATGATTTTATAATATTCTCTAATTGTAATTCTGGTATGATTAAATTGCATAAGAAAGTTTTTTCTTCCTTTGATGAAGAGAGTGGGTTTATAATTAATGCTAGTAAGAGTTGTTTATAAACTTCAAAACATGTCTACTAGGCATAAAAACTCAATATCTTTGGTTTACAGGTTTACTTTTAAATCTCTTCAAATTGTAATTGGGCATTCCACATTTTAAAGCTAAGAAGAGGCCTTGTTAATTTAATTATTTAATTTCTATTCCGAATAATCTTTCATCTTGGGAATTTAAAAGTTATCTTTGCCGGGCAGATTTACCCTTATTCATACCATTCTTGTTCAGGTCTTATTTTCAAACTCCAAACACTATAACCAACTTCTTTTATTTGCAATAAAATTGAAAGATTGTTTACGGTTCTTGCAATTGTTGTTGTAGTGTATATAAGGAGGAGGTGATGTAGAACCGGAGGGCCAGCTAGAGAGGGGGACATTGATTTGAGGAATTAAAGACTTGTCAACATAGGAATTTTAGTTAAGGAAGGATATTTGAATTAACTCCTAATTAAAATTCAAATGAGCATGATTTGAGGGGGTTCCCAAAAATAACTTATCTTATTTTAGGAAGGAATTTCAGATTCAAAATAGATTGGAATCTGAAATTAAGAACCTCCAAGTTAAGAAAGAGGATTTAAATCAAACCCACTTATTAAATTAAGATATATTTGATTGGAAATCAAGTTCAAAAATTTTTGATTGGAAATCTGAATTAAAACTTTCCTAACATAAGTTATCCTATTTTAGTAAAGGATTTCAAATTCAAATCAATTTAAATTTGAATTTTGAAAACTTCCTAATTTAAGATTTCTAATAAATGGAAAGTGTTAAATCAAGGATTTGAATTTTGGAGGCAACAGAAAGGGAGATTTGCATTTGAATCTTCTCCAAATAAAGGAGAGAGGGAGAGGTGGGCTGGCCCCTTGATGGGGTGCTTGGGGTGAATTGATTGCCTTCTTTAATGGGAATCTCAAATTGGGAAAGGATTTAAAGGCCTTTCAAAATTTAAATTCAAATTAAATTCATGGGAGGGAATGCCTTCTTAATTAATTCAAAATATGAGAGATAATTTGAATTTCAAATCAATTTTGAAATTTGAAATTCAAATTTTAGGGTTTCCGAAAATACCTTGAATTAAATTAGGAAAGGAGTAATGGGTCCATGAGAAATAGAATCCCAAGGGGAATGGGGGGTTTGACCGGCGGCAAGGATGGGGGAAATTGGCCGGCAGTTTGAGAAGGTGTTTGGGCCAGCACTCGGGTGTCTTTTGGCCTAGGTTTGGGTGGATTTTTCGGCCAAGAGGAGAAAGAGAGATGGGGATGTAGCAGCTAGGGTTGAAGATGGAGAGGGGTCTATTAAGGGTTAGACACAAGGTGACCGACAGCTTGGAGGAGTAAGGAGGAGGCGGCAGTTACGAAAAATAAGGAGAAGAAGAAAAACCACGAGCCCGGACGCTTTCTGCGGCTGGTGGGTGGTATGTTGCCCTCACCTAGGGACTTCCACTCTCCTAAGAACTCCCATAGCTCTCAAGAACAAAGTGCGGATTTTTCTTTTCATTAACCATCCATTATCTCAAATGAAGAGGAGGCTTTAAATAGACAACATACAATGAAGGAAAATAAAAAAAGACAAACATGCCCCTAGAGCTTACATAGGACTACTCCCTTAAGTAAGGGTAGAAACGGACAACAACAACAACAACAAGCCTTTATCCCACTACGTGGGGTCGGCTACATGAATACTTTTTCTCCATTGTGTCCTATCAAAAGTCAAATTCGCGTTTAAATCTAACAAAAAAAGGTCATTCCTAATATTTTCTAACAAAGTCTTTTTAGGTCTACCTAACCTTTCTTAACATAAGTCAAATCTAACACCTCTACTCTCCTAACCGGGTCATCGGAAGGCCGCCGTTTTATGTGACCAAACCATCTAAGGCGACTCTCTCTAATCTTATCTTCTACTGGAGCTACTCCAACCTTTTCACGTATATGCTCATTTCGTATCCTATCTCTAAGGGTAAAGCCACTCATCCACCTAAGCATCCTCATCTCTGCCACACTTAACTTAGTATTATGCTTCTCTTTTAATGGCCAACATTCGTCACCATAAAGCATTGCATGCCTCACTACCATCTTATAGAATTTTAACTTAAGTTTGAAGGGTACATTTCTATCACATAATAATCCCAATGCATTCCTCCACTTCAACCATCCAACTTGAATTTTGCTGATAATGTCCACGTCTATTTCACCATCACTCTGAACAATAGATCCAAGATATCTAAAACGTGTACTCTTATTAATGACTTGATCGCTCAAAGTCACAATTCCCTCACTAGGTCTATTACTACTAAAATTACACTTCATATATTCCGTTTTAGATCTACTCAAGCGAAAACCTTTAGACTCTAAGGTTTACCTCCATAATTCAAGTTTACCTTCAACTCCCTCTCTAGTCTTATCAACAAGAAGAATATCATCAGCAAAAAGCATACACCAAGGTACATCCTCTTGCAAATGTCTAGTGAGAACATCCATGACTAAAGCAAAAAGATATGGGCTTAAGGCTGATCCTTGATGTAACCCAACCGAAATAGGGAAAGACTTGGTCAATCCACCTTGTGTTTGTACACAAGTAATAGCTCCTGCATACATATCTTTAATGATTTGAATATAAGAATTATTGACTCCTTTCTTTTCAAGAACTCTCCATAGCACTTCTCTTGGAACTTTATCATATGCTTTTTCTAAATCAATAAATATCATATGTAGATCCTCCTTATTTCCTCTATATTTTTCCATCAAACCTCTGAATAAATGTATGGCTTCCATAGTCGACCTACTCGGCATGAATCCAAATTGATTTTGAGAAACATCAGTATCACACCGCAGCCTATGCTCCATAACTCTTTCCCATAGTTTTAAAGTATGACACATTAACTTAATACCTCTATAATTCGCACAATCTTGTACATCACCTTTATTCTTAAAAATAGGAATTAACACACTCATTCTCCACTCATCTGGCATCTTCTTAGTCTTCAAAATAGTATTAAAAAGTTTAGTAAGCCAAGAAATCCCTTCATCTCCTAAGCATTTCCACACCTCTATTGGAATATCATCAGGTCCAACAGCTTTTCCACCCTTCATTCTATTTAAAGCCTCTCTAACTTCAGTTTTACTAATACGCCGATAAAAACAGAAATCTTTACTTTCATTTAGGATGCTAAGGTCACTATAGTCAATCTTATTTTCACAATCTTCATTAAAAAGTTTAGCAAAATATCTCATCCATCTTTGTTGAATA